TACTACGGATCATTAATAAGCTCGTGCGTATTCGGAAGAAATATCAACGTGTAGTTTGTACTCACACCACAGAATGAATGAGTATACTCATATCAAGAGGCGTACGAGATCACAACATAATCTACGTGATTATCTCCTCCTATCGAAATCCTCCCCGGGATATATGTATATACAGTCTCGTTTATTAAAGCATTAATGCGGTCATCGGGATTGTAAATCCAAGCTTACAGCTTAATGCTTTTCCAGAAGATTGCAAATTAATATTCCATACATATGATGTAAATTTCTATTTTTTTTTGCACAAGTCTTAAATTTAAATATATTTCATCGTAATGGCGTAGAATATTATTTTCGTATATTTAAGACGTTCAAAAATAAGAGATCGCAAGTAATTGGATTACATAAGAAAAAATAATGCGATGCAAATTTAAATTAATATACTACGTAAAGCTCTCTAGCTTGTTGGAAAACTGATTACTCACGCTAGTAGCAATAGGCGCAAATTATGGACTATAAAATCGCGAAGAATGTATACGATCCGTGAATTTAATGAAGGGTGGGTTCGGGTAATTTCACTCTGACACGCAGGGGAGCGATATATATCCCGTCACGCAAATTTGCGCATATTTCCAAAAAAATTTCGACGAATAATTCCGTCCCGACGAAGTCAGTCGCATCCGGTAAATTATGCGATAGAAAGTCGCGGAGTAATTTCAATTCATAGCGATTTACAATGCCATCCAAGCATCCTCGAAATTCAGCTCTTTGACCTTTATTCCAGACAGGTTCTTTCCTTTGCTTGTTTTTTTTCCCTTCTCTTACGATGTCGAAGCTTAGCCTCTCAAAGAATATTCCACGATCTAAAATATAGATGCTGGAAACAATTGGCGAACTCTCCGAAGGATTTCTCTTTCAGTTATTTGCATCGGGAAGATGCGAATTGAATTTAACATTTGTGAGAAATCTAGGGAATATTTATGAATATTAATTAAAATCTATTTAAATATATATTATTCATCCTCCGATGTGTTGGACGGAAATAAAATTAAGCAACTGCTTCTTCTTTGTTACAAGAACTTTTCGCCAGTCCTTCCTTACATATTTTATATTATTTTATACCGTATTTTTGGAACGGATATTAATAAATTCGCGTTCGCGAAGAGTACAATATCAAGTGAAACTCGTGTAAATGGCTAGCTAGGAGAAAAGTTTTGTCAACTTTCCATTAGTTATAATAAATGCAGAACTGTTGGCTATCAAAGTTTGAGAAATTTCGCTTCGGGGTACAAGTGTTCGAGATGCATGTGTTTCCACTATTCTGATAAACGCAAATTAGAGTTTTCGTGTAAATGTGATTACTAGATAATATGAAACGAGTAATTTAATAATAATTGTGCTCTTCGCATTGCGAGAAATACGGAATTTTCTCTTGCTATTCTCCGCAATTATTAATCGCCTACGCGGGATTAGTCTGTCATCAAATTAAAAATTAATTTAAAAAATATATTCAAATGAAAATTGTATGATGCGCTCGTTAATTAAAATTTCTTTTTTAAATTGCAAAATTTTCTTGCCAAAGTTTTGCCTATCCTTTTACGCTGGCTTTAATTTTCCGCGTGATATAAATTATTCGTGTGTAACTCGAGCGTGTAAATTTGAAAAACTCATGCACATATATATTTCTTATCAATTAATCATAATATGCGTGCAGATAGCTATATTATACATGTATTCAATATTACATGCAGTCGAATAATGCATGAAAATTTTTTTCCTCCTAATCAATAAGTCAAAGTGATATTGAAAATATACACGATCGATGTATTAATATCAAACGAGCACGAAACAAATTGTTAATTTTATTCGAAATTTTATCGCACTCGGTTCAATGCGATCGTGCTTTTTGCCGGATCGGCGTGTTCAGATAAAGCGTCTCGTTTTTTTTTTTCACCCGTACACCCGGGAATGAAATTTTCGATGCAACGCGATGCCCAACGGTCTGGAAAGCAATAGTTTGTGTGGATCCAGGCAACATATTTATTAATCGTGACGAGCAATTTGTATCTTTGTTAAAACGAATTCGCTTTATCCGCGTATGTTATATAAAAATATACATATTCAAATACTTCCCTTAGGGCCGATTTGTCCAACTTACAAACGGGTAAAACTTACCAAAGTTGGAACAACCGCCCTTAATGTCTTTATTAATCGCAAATCCATAACTCGAAGAAAACTCGTTGTTGAGAAGGAAAAATAAATTAGAATTTTATTTGGCTTCGTACAGCTCGAGCGCTCAAACAAATTGCATTTTACTCGTTTTATTTCTTCAAAACATAAAATAATTTTGCTTCGCGGAATGTTTTTCGTTGTGCAAAACGAGGAAACGATACCGGAAATGAGACGAAGCGGAGGACTCTAGAGGAAAAAACAAACCGCCATATAATAGCCGGCGAACAAGTTTCATTTATCTGTTTGCCATCTGTCGACGATCCTTCGCCGGTCCTTGTCACTTCCAGCTCTTCCACAATCGGAGAGAGCTGGTTCCGGTTCTTTTATATCGCACTTGGTCATCACTCCACGTTTTACGATCTCTTACGCTCTCTTTCTGCCCATTATCGGACATCGCTGTCCGACTTGGCGTATTTATCCATTGTTTGCTGATATTTGTTGGGATAGTCGTTGGAGAGGTAGTTTGCGAAAAACAACATTGACTGTAGTACAACAGGGACATTGCAGTTATACTGCAATAACGTTAGCATTGACCAATTGAACCGATAATAGCGACGTTGTTTTTTCAAACATTTTCGCAACCTTTGAACCATAAATGCATCGTGTTGCAGAAACACTATTATAGTTTTCGGTTATTTAAGTTAACAGTTACTTTAAGATATTTATCTCGATAATTTTTTATAAAATTTTACGGAATTTTCTCCGTATCGTTTCTCAAATTCAAAGAAATACAAACAGAATCATGTTTTGCCTGATTATATAAAATTCGTTGAAAATAAAAAAAAAAAATTGAGTATTATATTAATTTACATTCATAATGGAAATTTCTCTCTCAATTACGCTGAAAAATTTCAATTATTAATATTTATTCAAATTAGTTCATTAATGGATATTTAATTTAGTAATGCGATTGCAAATGTACCAAATAAACACATAATGCGTAAAGTTATGAGAGAATGATTAATTAAATACACGTCTGGCGTAATTTGATGGAAGTGTGCGCACGCGGTATACAATTTCAGTTTCATTGTCGAACAAACTACTTTGACAGTTCGAATCTCTTAATGTAAATTGAGATGAATCGAGGAGAGAAAATAATGTATATATCTGTGAGAAAGCGTTACCTGCGGGAACAAAGACTTTTCCCTTACCTTCCTGTGATTTCGGTTGACCTTCTCTCGCAATAATGCACGCCTTTGTTAAAATAAACTCTGGGTCCCGAAATAAGACGCTCGCGCGTCTTTTCTTTTGGTAATAACCCACAAAACCTACAAATGATTCATCAAATCGTAATAAAGCTCCTAATAAAGAACTGGGTTCTTATATTAAACATAAAATAAGAAAAGTATCATTTTCCTGAGAAATTGTGCTACTAGAATTCAAGCTTACATATATAAAAAATATTAATATACATATTAAACACATAAAATTTAATTTCATCGAAGCATTTAAAAAAATATTAATTTAATAATACCTATCTCTATCTGAGGACGTTATTAATATATAATTATTTTTTTTACAATTACAAATATATTAAATAAAATTAATAAAATTTTATTAATGTAATATAATTTGTTGCAATTATAAAAAATTGTTAATTAAAATAAAATATAAAAATTATAAAAATTTTCTTCTTTTTATTTGGTTGAGAGATTGTTAAATGTTCAAGTATTTCTTTTCGCGATTGCTGCTTTCAAGACGATGATGCTTTCGGCACGGTATAAATTACAATTAATTAGTACAGTATTTGTTCCTGCGGGAGAGTCGCAGGTGCGACGTACTCCATTAATGCGTGCTTGGGAGAGGATCCTTGGTTCTATTTCCCCTTTAAATTTCGCAATACCTCCGATATTGCCTTGTAAGCGGATATCCTCCTTTCTGCCAGGCGAATTCCGTGTCGTTACTGGAAACTCGGAAGCGGAACAATCCTTTCGTGGTCTACTTTTCGGACGTGTCAGAGGATAAAGGTACGACGAGAAAGAGGGGTGAGAAGGAGGGAGAGAGACGCAAAAGGCTCGGAGCAAAAAGGGAGTAAGGAGATGAATATTGGCTCTCGCAAAAGCTTGCTTTTCAGAACGTCATGGTGAAAAAGTAGTCGTTGTATTACAGTGACAACTTATTTTCATGTTTTCTCGACACGTGCCGTATAAAAACCCCCCTTTATACATTGGCATTGCTTTTACTTAAAGTTCAAAAAGCTCTACAATTTATCTAAATCTGATCTGCATTGTTAACAGACAGTTTTATATAATCTTGTATAACAATGTCATATTTTATATAATTTCATAATACTAAATATTTGTGTATTTATGTTATATATATTTTTATAATTAACTCATAAAGTAATTAAGATTATTGTGATGTTATCTTTAATAGTTGTAGAGTTCTTGATAGTTTAAACAAATATAATTCTGACCGTTAAAACAATAAAAATGCATCGTGACAAACTGAAACATCAAATTATGTATTAATTTATATAGAATTATACTTATTCTAAAGCTATTCTGTATCTTTTCGAACGAATCTCCTTCGAATTTTAATTCATTATTAATCTTGTTAAAACTTTAAATCATATATCGCGCGCGCTATTAGAGTTGAAGTTGCTGATGTTTGTAGAATAGCGAAATAGTGTCGGCCATTACCGAAACGCAGCGGATATCGCGCAGTTCTCGAGCTACGTCCCATTGTATTAATTATTAATAAGCATATTTGTTTCTAACTTTATCGATCGCATATCATAATATTCAACGTTCATATATTATTTGTTACAGGTAGCATTGCTGATAAGCTGCGCGCGAGTTTGCGAGATTCTCGAGTGCCGAACGAACGTTGCTTTATGCAATTATAGCTTGCGCATCGTTTTTTCTCACTGTGCAATATACGCGAAATACGCGTGTGATTCACGCGTGTCGGGAGTGCCGTATTAAGTGCCGCGCGTCGGGAGTGCCGTGTAAAGTGTCGGGCGATCGTAATTTTTCGTGTTTTCGCGAGTGTCGTGAGTGCTGCGAAAGACCACGAGAGGAGGAGAAAATCCCTGGAGGCATCGGGCAACATCGGGGCAACTGTAAGGTATGCAAAATAAAAACACGTTTTTCTAAACTGCATGTTTATAAGATATTCGATTATTTCCAGACTTTAAAAACCTTGTATATATGTATATAATTTTTAATATGAATATGTATGTATATACATAATTTGAATATTTTGTTTTCAGATCAGTGCTGTATATACTACAACTCTGATATTACATCGTATCGGTGAGTGAGAAATATTTATTTTATAACATTTCTATAGCGGTAATGAGGTGTATAAAGTTGGCATCTCATGTTGTGGAAACTTATAATCAATTAAGAGTTCTTTATTTTCAATAGCTTCTAAAGTTCTTTAGATAGTTTAAACAAATAGTTCTGGTCATTAAAACACGAAATTGTGTTGGAATAAACTGAGACGCCAATCTCACGCAGCGTCTCGCTTTGTTTTATGGTATTTATCAAGATTTAAAAAATTTATAATTCTACAAGAATTTTAAAAAGAGTACCTACTGTCTTCTAAAAGCACAAAAAATATTAATAAAATTTATATAAATAATAAAATAATAAAAAGAATAAAATATTACACTAAAATAAAAATAATGCTTTAATTAATATAAAGCAGAAGAATTGAAAATAAAACTAAAATTCTTATTTATGAGTTTTCACGAGACGTCAGCACATGCACATAAATGTCTTAAAACGTTAAATTAGGTTCAATATTTGAAGAATATATTTCCCTCTATTTGAATGCAGTAAAATAGAGAAGTTTATGATAACATCAATTTATTTCGAAAGTTAGAGAAGCGTAGCGTGTCATAGAAAGATTTTAGACTATACTAAAACATTTTCATTCGTGCAAATCGCGTGATTTTAAAGATTGGGTCAAAGATAAGTTCAAACCTTCCCGAAGTACAGGGATATATCGCAGGAGTAGTACAACTGCGTAACTTCGAATTGCATTCCTTTGTGTGGCCTCCAGCTACGCTTACATCAATTCCATAGAGAATAATGTAAGAGGATATTACGTTTTATTGTTGTTTTTTTCTTTTTTTTTTTCCTTTGTTAAATGTTCCATGACAGAAAGTATGTATAATAATTTCGCAAAGAACCATACATATTACGTGATACAGTTCTTACACAAATTGAAAGAAGAAAAATCGTCGCTTCATAGAGAAATAAAGCGAAATAATTGGAGTTGTATAAAGAAAATAACGGGGTTAGCTCATTGCAAGCTGAAAGGTAAGTTGCGAGAGATTGTTCAGACGTGTTCCTGGTGGTTGCGAATCTATCTGCGAAGGCACGTCGAGTATCTCAACGATGGCGAAAGTAGCTAAACTTTTTACACACCCTTACTGGTATGCGGGTACTTCGGGATGTTGCGAAGGGTTGGCTCCGAGTTAAAAGGGTTTCTTACATAATTCCGTTTGATTGCGTTTAGCACTTCGGATCGCGAAAAGTGCGGGATAATCCTGCGATTCAACTACGAGCAATTCTCGCGATAGGTTCATACGATCGTATAATTTGTACAGAACGATCCAGCTTCCATCGCTTTACTTGGGAAAACTCCATTTACACAAACTTGATCCATGACGCGACACGTGAAACGGGTCGGGGAAAAATTTACCTAAAGGGTATTGTTCCGTAAAATGCGTCGTATAAAGGAAAAATCTCGGTGACAGCACGTTTTCATCATCGACCAAATGCTCGCAGCCGCGAATATGTTTTCGAAGAACTTTATGGAAACCGCTGACAAAAACAAGCTGTGACAATAAAGTTGAGAGTTTAAAGGAGAGATCCGTTTTCGGATAAATTAGGTAGCTGCTACTTTGTAATATTTTCTTAAAGTAATATCTCTTTGCAAATTATCGGGAATATTTAACGCGCATGTATATATACGCGCGAACAATAAAATTATAATGTTTGCATGCAAATTAATTTTCACAGGTTATTTCGCCTGAAATCGTGCGCAATCTTTTTATATACAAACATAATAAATTATCCCTTGAATGAGAATATGTTAATTAATACTTTTTCTAAAAAATCGCGAGAAAGATGAGGAACATGTTTTGTATGTGTAAATTATTCTAGAAAATATGTTAATGCACTTTACTCATGAATATCTAAATTAGGGAAGCATTGTAACGATGACCTTTAATATGATCTCATAAGTATTTATTAACTCATAATTAAGTTTATGGATGTACTCACATAATTCCAGGATTTAATTACATCTAAGATGAATAAATTAATTTACATATATACACGTGCACATGCGTGTGTATATAAATGTAGTTTCAATTATTATAACATTCATCTTCTCCTCGAGAGAATGTTTGAGGATTGTCTACTGTATATTTGGTAAAATAGTAGTGCTAAACGTGAAATGAGAGAAAGGAGGAGTAATACGTAGGATTACAGTACAAGAACATAATAAAAGTTCTACTACTATCTTGCGGAATCTTATGAATGCTATCAAACTAGAGAGAGAGAGAGAGAGTAACGTGCAGTAAAATAACAAAACTCTAAAAAGCCCGTTATTACGAAAAAACATATATACGAACATACCTTGCATCTTTACATTTACATAAATCACGGGAGGGATATAACTTTATATAAACACGTGAATAATGTGTCCTCACAAAATTTCACATATACTTCTTGACAAATTTTTGTCGTGAATCTTTGTTAATTCTAGTGCCGTTCATTGACTTTTTGCCAAGCACTCGAAGAATTTTTTTTATATATATACTGTACATATAAGTTTGATTTATTAAAAAAATAAATAAAACATATATATTAAAAAATATATATTTATTAACATTAGAAGTTTGTCGAGAGTTTGACAGGAAATCAGTAGGTGAATCTATCTCTTCGAATGTTGTTTTTTTTTTAATGTAAGAATTTTGATTACTTGGAGATCCTTTTTTCTTGTTCTTTTTATGCCACTTGCGTCGGATATACGATATTTCGTATTTGTTTTTTCAGATTTGCTCTATCGATTCGACTTTTGTATAGATGAAATTCTATCTGCAATTTATCGCGAAGGGTTAACGAGACGCGAAACTTGAGTCTTGAATTTGGTATAGTATCGTACCCGTGAGACATCGTATCGTTTCCTTCCGACAAATATAGGCAATTCTATCGTCTGCCCTTGTTGGTTCTCGGACGAATTTGAGAAACACGCTTGCTCTTCGGAAAGTTTCACAGCCTAAAGGCAAAAGCTTGTCTTACAATCAAGCCACCATCGTTCTATTAAGTATTGAGTTACAGGAAGGAGAATTGTATTTGCAATCGGGGAATTCAATTTGTTTTGTTTCTCTTTTTTTACAATTTTTTATCTATATATATTCTTTTTAATCGGAAGTCTTAAACAATTAGCTTAATAAAAGTGATGATATTTTATATGTAATATTTAATATTTTATACGCATATTATATGTGCAAAACTTTACTTGGAGATTTTTTATATATTACTTTTAACAACTAAAAGACGTATTAACTAAAATTATATATAGCTTGTTAATATATACGCAATATTTGGAGCGATATGTAGATATGTTCTATATAGATAACTAAATTAGGCCGCTCAGCTAATTTCCATATGTCTGGATATTCATATTGTGCATTATGAATGCCCATAAACTACGCACTGTACTTGCATAAATCACACAATATCATAATATGATTTTTAATTACGTTGTTAGAAATAGAGGTCAACATTAAATTGCGTCGATCGAAAATAAGCGTGCGGAGAACATTTATTTTCCTTGTTCTATAAATATCATACAGCGCGAATAAGCATTTTAACTCACGAACGGTTGAATGAAATGTACGAAAATTTATCACATCGTAACAGCCTGCATTTATCGAAAGAATTAAAAGAAGAGAAAAACCATTTATTATTTCCTTCTGTTTGCGTTTCTCAAATCTATTTTATTTTTATTCAGCTTGACTTTTTGCCAGGTTTTTTTTATCTCTAATGCGAATCATTCGTGCGACAAATCAACCACACATTGCGAAGTAAATTGAATATCATTCATCGACTTTTTTTTTTTGCCTGTTTCGGACCAGTACTTAATTCCCGTCGCGAGGGTGACCCTTGTGATTCGGTTCAATTTTTTTTAAACGAACTCGCTTTCTTTTGCTTCTAGCCTTTGATAAACGCTCGCCATTAAACTATCTCGATATCGGGTAACGGAGCATTAAAAAAAATGTAAGAAATAATGTACTCGGCACATTGCTTTGTTGGAATTAACTGCATTAATTAAACGTAATGGCATCATTATAATGCCAGTATAATGAGAGGGAGAGAGAAGCTCTTCTAACAGATTGGTTCGATACCATCCTATAGAAATAGTGGATAGAAAAAATTAACTATACTATAAAATCTGCCACATGTTTCATTATGCATGCGTCACTATATTGTATTGTACATTCTTGGGGGATAGTGAAATATTATCGAGAACGACATTGACGGATGCCGTGCACGTCTTGTTGAGAGAAGATTACGGCCTTTAACAAAGCAGGAGCAATATTTCAGAATGAAAGAGCAATTTTTCGATCTTGAAAACGATCCAACGTCCCTCGTGCATTTTCTCGCCGCTTATTAAGCATTATGGCTTGTGTGCCTATGGTGGGCTTAATGCAAGGGAGAGGCCTTGTCGGAACCACTCGCGGTCGTGAATCAACAATAGATGCGAGTATCGAAAGTCGATACGTCACGCTGCGAACAGAAACTCGCACAAATGGCGGAATTTTTGGATAACGAACCGAGCACAAAGTCGCGTGAATACGATATTCCGTAACGCATACACGAGCGCGAATAATTTGATGCCTCTCAAAGAACCGGACTCAAAGAGAATGGAATAATCAATATATATTCTCCATCGATTCCTTTACCTCTGATATCAACAGCGATTTAAGTATACTTATCGGGAGGAAGATAAAATGTTACAAATTTATTGAGATACGGAGAGGAAGATACATTCTATTAAACCTAGAGAAACGTATAGCTTTTTTCTCCTACTTTGTAACGATGAAAATTTTATCGGTTGATTTAAGGAATTAATAATATCGAACGTGAATATCTACTTCGTAAATGAAAATTGCGTATAATTATGGTACAAATATTTTTCTGTATAAGTGATAGTATATATAAGCCGTGTTGTATAATATAATTAACGGTAATCTGTAAATTTACAATCGTAAATTTAACTTTCCGTAATTAATGTTGACGTTGATATTACCACAACTACCGGTCGGTCAATTATTTCATATTCCGTCGTGTATATGTAATATCAAGCTACATGTAAATCGCGCGCGTGTATCCGAGGCGGATATTGGGAATGTTGCAGTTTTATAGACGCGAGGATAAATCGAGATAAGATAAATCAACATACCTGGAAATTAATTTATAGCTCGTAATATCTTCGTGATGCGGGCTCTATGAAAATTTTCCGGGTAGTTGTCACACCGGATCTCCCCTTGTTCATGCTTGGCCAACTTCGTGTATTCTCCTCGATGTTGTTCTAGTTGGAGGGATACGAGTATTAACCCTCGTGCACGCTAACTTCCACCAGACTAGCTCCTTCACCGAACACATTCGGTAGTTTGACGTTTTGTAGTTTGCCGGCGTGATATCCTTTGTGTGGATGTTTGACGTTACGGTACTTTTGTACAAAATTTCCAAGCGTTCTACATAAAGTTTCCGGTGAATTTGATATCCACTCTCTTCGTCTGCATATCAACGAGCAGGTATTTTAATTGCCGTTGTAAAATGATTCGAGAAACTATGAAATCTTCTGTTTAAAAAAACTAAGATTAAAAGGAAAGGAAATAGTCTTTTTTATATTATATATTAAATATACTTGATAATAAATTATGTAGTCAATGAAAACTAGATTCATCGATTACTCCGAGTAACACGTTAATTTTTTGAAATATATACATATTTTTCCTAACTACACTTTCATTATAATCAAATATATCTTATAGCTGTTTCGGTGGTATATATTCTTTATCGTACAACGAGAGTTGAAGAGACACTTAAAGATCGATTTTTCTCTGTCAGCAGCACGCCAGCGTATTCCCGGAAATTCACTAGTGGTCCGAAGTTCGTCAGTCTCGATCTTCTATCAGTCGAATCACGTCCCCGTGTTCTTTTTGGATTTTCTTCGTTAAACTTTCAGAGCCGAGCTCTTTCTTGTTTTCAACTGCGATTAATCACGGCAACGTGCTCGTCCTCACATGCAAATTCTCCGCGTGAGATCAAATTCACGAGACATTTATTCCACCGAATTTTCACTCTGGCCAATTGGTAGAACACAATTTCGAGCTTTTTTTTTAATTATCGATTTTCCAGCGATTTACGCACTTTGCAGCGCGAAAGTAGGTATTTTCCGTGCAGATCGTACGTAGTTTCTCTCAGATTTCTGTAATGAAGATCTTCGAAAACCTCGTGCATATGTCGCGTGCAACGAGATTTGCATACAATTCGAGTTCCTCGACGGCTCTCGGCCGACTGACCGAAAATGCGACTACCTCACGCGTCTCTGATATCCGCGCATGTGCAATATGTAAGACGAGATTTTAATCGAAAGCCTAAAAAAATTGAGAATCGTGTATATAAGTAACAGTCGATTCTTATAAAAAAAGATATCTGCTTGTCAAAATTCGAATCTTGCGAATAAATTGTAATAATCATAGCTTTGACTGATACTTAATTTATCTTGAATAAACTTTTCTGAAATCGTCTCAATATTTCTTCAAATATTTGCAGAAGAAAGAGTTTAACTTTAAAATAATATCATAAATTAGAGACGTGTATGTGTATTTGGCGATACTTAAATAAATCGAGCAAAGCTTTCTAATAATAATTGTGTAATAATTATGTCAAATAATAATCATTTATTTCGAATAGAAGTGTCATCGTAAATTTATGAAAAAATATATTACAAATAATAATTGATAAGTACTGCGTTCCACGTCTATTTCAGATGGAATTTATTAATTTTATATGAATTATTATTTGTATATTTTATTTATTTTATTGAAAATGATTAGTTTTCAGTATTTATTTGTTGTATATTAAAGTAATCTCTGTGTGGGACAAAAATAATCGGAAAGTCATGTTATATCATGTAAATTAATATTATAAGACTATCAAAATTTTGATCTTGTGATCACAAAACCTACAAGATATAGAGATTAATGATTCTACATATTAATCCCATTAATTCCTATCTAATATATCTCATCAATCACAAATAAATCCGTGAGAGACATTGCGTTCAAATTTTGTCAAATTCGATGGATTTACCCTCCGGGACGATAATTAATCAAGCCGAGTTTCGGGACTCTACAAATCCCACGGATATCCGGTTATTTTTAGTCGAAGAACAATCGTGTTCTCGATAGCCTCCGGAGAGAACGCGAGATATTCTACCGATCGATTTTATGGTAAATTTACAATAGATACGGTCGCGATGTTATAAGCAAATACTCGGTTTGCTTACGATATGTGCAAAGGAAGAGGCGAAGTTCAGAATTTTGTCATAAAATACATTTCGATGGAGAATTTCGACGCAACATGCTTGTAACAAATGACCGGCATCGACAATTTATGATCGAAAAACAGCTCGCAAATCTACATGTGCCGTTGGCAACTAAGAGCGAATGCGGAAATTCCTCCTTAAAGAGGCACATCATGAAACATACGACGCGAAATGCAATTCAGTTTGCTAATTGCAAGGAAGCTGCACCGGCCGGAAGTAGGTTACGTTAAGCCCGGCTGAGAATGCAGGCGGACACACTCATCAAAGTGAATGCGCAGAGCTTATGAGTACATATACATATATATGTATGTATGTACATATATGTGTGTGCGAGGAGAAATGTAAATCTGTGCATTCCCATTACGAAATGGACGTGGAATGCAGTGCTTTTTAATTATTTCGCCAAGAATTTAATTAATCACACGCTACAACATTAAATTTTTAATGAAATAGAGACTCTTTGCGCGACACTATTTCAATTCCATGTACGTGGAACGTATAAGAATGTCTAGTATTTTTTTTCATACAGGTTTTTTTTTACGCTAACGACGATAATATGCAATAACGGTGATGGCAGTGCGTTAATTGAAGTGATAAGCTCGATCGAACGCGCATTACATCTCGTTTATGAATAAAGCTTTAATATGCAAAATTTGTTTGACCGCGTTGTGGCTTTTGTACGTCTGTACGCATTTCGTGATACGCTCAAAGTGATTTCGCGCGCTTTTCAATTCAGAAAACCGAACTCTCCCAGATATTACGATTAAACCACAACCATATAGAACGAAATTAAAAAAAGAATAATTGAAAATATAGATTAGCACGGGATCTCTTCTTATTTTCAAGCAAAATAACAAATAACATTCCGGATAGAAATTATCTCGCTGCTCGAAATGAACAGTCTAATATAATGGCGTATTTTTAGCGACGTTCGTGCATGCTTAATATCATTACCTTTATTAAATGAATACATCTTGTTTAATCTGGATATTTTCTGGAATTTTTAAATGCAATTCCAGAAATTTTTATGTATTTTTAAAATACGTACGAATTTAATATAATGGAAATATATATATTTGAATGACTTTTAATAAAATTTTCGGTTTAATTTCAATCGGACGTTCAATGATACGTCGTATTTTATGTTCTTTCAATTTACGTTTATTTTTACTGAAAGATTTCTTAATGATAATTAAAGTGATATTGAATTTTTAAATGGGTTGTGTTGAGTCTGCAGCCGTATTGTCAAGCACGTGTCTTTATTCACAATCAGTTTCGTTGTGGATTTAATCCGTGTGCTCCGAGAGTACATCCGTAACCACATCCGACGTTTTCCTCGTATGTGTGCGCGCGTATGTGTGCGTTGTATAGGGAAGAGAGAGAGGACACTATCATTGATAATGTAGAGGCTGCCACGTTTTGCGATCGTAAAATCATCGCAAACAATTGAACGATAGTGGCAGCTAAACGTGATTTAGGAAAATTTAATTTAAGTGTTGAATAATTTAAGTGAAGAATGTATGAATGTGCATGCATATTTTATTTGCATTCGATCGCAAGGAATTATAGAGTGTAGCTGAAATCAGAGAACAAGTGGCAATGAAATAGTATAAAAATAAAACGGAAAATATAGATTATAGAAAATGCTCTCGTATGAAAACAATATTTTACAATCTAATCTTTTTTTACATGTTTTATTTTATTATTTTTTTTTTTAAGACAATTTTTTTCTGTTTGTACATTTTGATTTAATACACTCTAGATAATATATAATACAACATTATATATATATCAAAAAATGAATATATTAGAGAATATGAATAGATGGAATATAATATAAAGACCATTTACAAAACGAATAGAGGGAATAGAGAGTGTGGATATCGATTTGTGTGTAGATGTGTGAGCGACTTTAACTCCTTCAGCAATTTTCTCATATACGTTCGTGTCAGACGCCAGATGGTGAATACCAGTTGGGTGGTCAGCTTAAGATTTATCACTCTACGAAACTGTATCGTCAGATGCTAAAAGACGCCGTTTTGCTAGCTGTTTAAATCTTCTATAAATGGGTTTTCTGATAGATGTAAACGACGGCGCTTTGATTAATACGTAATCTGTTACGATTATCTCTCAAGTATATAAAGCGCTCGACAAGCTCTAAACGCTGTCGTAAAATTTAATCAAAGAATAGTTACGAATCTCATCAATTAATTTCTTAATGGGGCGCTAATTTTATGTCGATATAAATCTCATACACAACCGCTCTTTATCTCGCGTATACGGTAGCACGTGCAGATGCGTACGCACGTAGTCGTAATCCATTAATTAGAACTTCGTTGGTTAATGGCTTACTCAGTATCTCGAACTTCCAGCTCTCGTGATATTTTCATTGCCTTCTTGGAGAAAATGTTTTAAAGAGTTTCAAAATGACGCTTAACGAATGATATTATCTTCTCGTTAAAGATGCAATTGGGATCAAAAGATGACATCAGTTATTACGAAGTTTCGTGGAAATATATCTCGCAGAAATGTTAGCTCGATTATTTCTGCGCGAAAAGTGGTACCGTGGATTATTCTCGCCGGTCAGTATATATTTGCTCGGCACACATCACGTTTAACGATATGCTGTCGTTAAACGTTCTATATATAAAAACGTTCTGTTTACTGTTCTGTATTAATTTTTTCTCCTTTCTTCGCCCTGTTCACCAATATGCGTATGCGTACAGCATAAGGCATATAAAAAAGGATGGAAATAAAACGGAAAATGTATTTTATAAGAAAAAAAATTAAAAAAAGTATTTCTCGCGATCGTGCAAATTTCGTGTTATATATATTAAGATCGTTTGCAGAATTTGCAAAAATTTTTCAAAGTTTCTTTAGACGATATCTATATGCTATTCACATAAGGAAATTGACTTTATTATCGAGTTAAATTTAATAAGTATAATGTGTTGATTTTACTTGTTTATTTTTTATAGAAATTAATAATTTATATATGTACATTTTTCGGTTGAAAAAATATTAAGATGCCGATTATAGATATTATATTTATTTTAACATTTTTCAAGCGAGATATCAAGTATGTTTTCTAGCTCTGTTTTTTTTGCATATTTATAAATCAGTTATCAGCCATCTGTCATTAGATTATCGTGATGACACAGACAATTGCGTTCTCGAAGAAATTCAAGATTATTTTCCCGTCCGCAGCAGATTTGAACGCGTTTAAACGCAATATATTTGATGTCTGCTAAAAATCGAAAATCAATTTGCGACACGCGCCTCTTTTCATGTCACACACCGTTTTATGACTGCTGAAGGCAGAAAAGGAAAGCGGGCTCTTGTATCCGTCTAGATATGCCAAGAAGTCTAAAATGATATGTAGACCCGCAGACTTACTTTCGGTTTGACATTACAGAATATAATGGCAAATTGTGTGTGCTCTGTGACTGTGAAAAGGCATATCCGTATCACGTTACACACATTATTAAATAAATTTAATATTATTTCAAATGCTGGTGCAATAAAAATAGATTTCAATTATTTAACAGTATGGTATTCGCAAAACATGAAAGTGAAAAAAACCGATAACCGTATATATTGTTCAGTGTAAATAATAATAGCTTCTTTCTCTCTCTCCTCTTTGTGTAAAACTTCCATGTTAATACACGCGATAGCAACGTAATATATTTCATTTATTTATCCATCGTATTTCCTCGATTGTTTGTAACATATTTTTCATTTTTTTTTAAATTATTAAACTGTCAGTTATCTTGTTTGGTTCGCATAAATTCTAAAACGAATGTCACTCATATTTCTTTCTACGTTGTTTTCATCCGATTGAATTTGATATTATATATATTATACATTGTTTCACCATGCGTTGACAATTGTGCGATAAAAATATTGCGCAGTTTCAACGTTGCCGTATAGTCAGCCTTTCTTTATTATTATTTACACAAGAAATTATAAAAGCTTCATACGTATTACAATATATCTCCAATGTGCTTGCACCGCTTGAACGTTCTTCATTATTGTTTATACATTATCTCATATATGTATATTTACGCCTAGATTTTTCACACGCGATATGAGAAATTCATATAGACAAGCGAAAGGAATTTTCTTGACACTCTTACGACTTTATATTCCATAACCGGTGACATACGCTTTGTTGGGCATGGATAATGTCTTCCTATCTATTATGTAAATAAATGATAATCGCAGAATTGTGCTATTTAACTCGTAGTTGTAATCATATCAAGATTTGGATAAAAAATTCGCGTATTGAGCCATTTCAACTCTGTGTTGCTTCTGTAAAGAATCACAATCATAAAATGGTCCTCGAAATCGAGAATTTTCTTTCAAAACCGAGAGAGATTTATTATCTCTCGGTTATTTTTAATTTCTAATGAATCTTTTTATATTGACTGCATTGTTCTATTTCTGCGATGATTGATTGCCATATTTAGAGAAGTTGTTTTGTATTATTTTGCCCTCGTTTCTTCTTCTCTTATTAATAATAATAAATTGATTTATGAGCAATTTCTGTGGGAAAGAAAGATTTTAAGGGGAGCTAAGCCTTACTTTAGATAAATTATTATCGACTTTTCACATTACATTATTATTAAAAACTATCAAATATTTGCGATTTATCATCATGAATACATCCTAGAGAAATAATACTCAATAATTCTCATCTTCTAATTGAGCTTCAAATTCAGAACAATGTCGTTATCTGCAAAAAAAACAACGATACGTTAATGAAAAAGTTTGATTTTTCAGATATTTTCGTGATATCGATTTTTTTTTTACTATTTTTTGTAATTGTAAAAATTATTGTCGCGCTATCTTAAATTAGAAATGTTTGAATTTTATGATCATCCCGCATAATTTTACGACATCGTAAAACCCAAAGCATTGCAATGTCTATTGATCTGATAACTCACAAGCGTAAATTCTATATATACTTACCACGTTGGATAATCGCATTTGTTCTTTTATCGAATGAACGATCACATTCTATCTTACTCTCTTCTTCGAGCTGAATGCTATTTTCAATAAATTTACCACTGGTGCCTCGAAAGCGAGGGAAATACAGAATGATAGCAGATATGAGGCTACCAGGTTACCGAAATAAACGATGAGCTGCGGAAGAAATATATATATAATTTTAACACAATTTGTATTGAAAATTGGAACAAAATAGTTTATTAGAAATTTATATAGATATGCAAGATGATATCTGATCATGTAATAATTACAGATGTACGCAATGATTTGTTATTAATAATATGATTGAGAAAGATTTTATATCTAACTATAAATATAAATCGAAAAAATATATAGAGTAAGATTTTTTTATATAAAGCATCATAATTTTTCTTCATTCTTAGCATTTATGCATTTAACTATAACAAAAAAACATTAAAATTGTAACGGTTATCAAAATATGATTAAATTAAAAGGAAACAATATTTAAAAAGCAAATATTTTTTATTCTGCAAATAAGTACTCTTAATATATTTTAAAACTTACGTTTATATTTTGCAAATTTTTTTTAAATAGAGAATGTTGTTTTTTTTTAATTTATTCTCGAGTAGGCAATCTTTGAGATATATCGAATTTATAATTTATCGTAAGATAATTAATCACCAATTATTCAAGCTTGAAAATAACAAAAAGTAATAAGTTTATAAACTTGTTAAATTTCGATTGTTTGAAAACATGAGATGTAAATAATCTTATTCCATGTATATTTTCAACGTATATTTTTCTATATAAAATCGTAATTGTTGCATTGTACCGACAAAAAATGATCTTCTATGACGCAGCTCCATAAAATGATTTAATAATCTGAAAATTCTCTTTACGCTTACGACAATCCCATTGTGGAGATGTAGCGGTCCATCCATCTGTGTACTCGTGATCATCATAATAACTGGGTGCACCAGATAAGCGCAGTATGTGAGCCTCGAGAGTGGATACGTTAGTCTTAGGGAAAGCAAACTGTCGATCATTCGTGCTGATCCTGTGCAACATTGGATCACGATAAAAGCCACGGCCATCGCCCACGCCGTGTGAGCCAAGGCCGCATATACGGAGCTCACCAGCACCGTCAAATTTCCGGGATACAATCCGTACACGACCGAAAACATGATCATTGCTGATAGTACCCAGCCGATTAACTCCACTCCCTAAGAAAATTGAGTAAATTTTACTTGCTGTTCTTTCAATGAAGAATTTTACGTTAAAAAGTACAAATTCATTACGGTATTTAAATTAACAGCATTTATTAATAATATATTCATGTAAATTATTCGTATTGTCATTTTTTGTATAATCATTTTTTTTTCTGTCGTTCTATTATTCGCATTCTTGTCGATGAAATTGATCGATATATAGATTTTTCAATTATCTCGTCCGCAACGCATATCCAAGATATGCATTGCTAATTGATTAAATATATATCGCTGATAGATTGATTGATCGACTCTTAAAAATGTAAAATCATTGTGAACGGTATCGATACACTCACCGTGGGTAATTTTAATTGACATTTCGTTTTGAAGAGAATATATCCAGTGATCGTGCCGACGAAATATGGGCCCGCTCTTAACCAGGGTTTGTCGTAGAGCTCATCGAAGAGGGCAAACGGCTCTTGGATCCTACGTAAAGAATTAGATGGCGAAATTACGCAGTATATCGTGGGATGAAATTGTCGCATCGGCAGATGAATAATGCAAAGTACAATGTCGATAAAACGCGGTATATGTATAATAGATGCCAGTTGAAATGAAAGCCTGCTTTCAATTACAGACGATGAAGATACCTGACTTATTGCATTATTTCTTCGCGGTATTCATTCAATTTCGATAAAAAGATCGTAGCATTTTATTCATGACTGAAGTAACGTCATATAGATATTACAAATTACAAGAGATTCTATCTCAATTGTTATGTTTTCATTAAATAACCGCGCGTGAATGGACCTTTTCTTTTGACACAATTAAGACTTAGCAATCCTTTTTTAATGGAGTATATACTATATATTGTAATCATTTTCATTCAACTCTTGTTTAAACAATTTTAACATGTCAACTCAATATCTTAAATAATTCAAGCTAACGAAAAATATTTTAATTAATATAATTTATAAAAGTTCTTTAGAAAATTTTAATCTGCAAAATAAAAAAGGCAATAAGAGCTACATAAGTTCTATACTAGAAATATATTTGTGAAACGATTTATAACATAAATTATTAAAAATTATGCAGAAGTAAGTTCAATTTGTCGTACGTTTCGGTTGTCTTTTTCAACCTTCTTCAGCGCAATTAATAATAAAAATAAAAATGTCCGGAGTCAAGTCATATGCTAACGCCCGAGATCAACGCATTTATAAAGCAAGAGCATTTTTTTTTTTTATAAAGCATATATTTCTATTCCTCACATATACTAAAAAAAATGCTCTTGCTTTATAAATGCGTTGATCTCGGGCGTTAGCATATGACTTGACTCCGGACATTTTTATTTTTATTATAATGACATCGATAAATAATTTATTGTTAATTTATACTAATATTTTAATTCATAATTGCGCTGAAGAAGGTTGAAAAAGACAACCGAAACGTACGACGAATTGAACTTACTTCTGTATAATTTTTAATAATTTATGTTTATAAATCGTTTCACAAATATATTTCTAGTATAGAACTTATGTAGCTCTTATTGCCTTTTTTATTTTATAGATTAAAATTTTAATTAATATTTTTTGTCTTTTATTATTTTCCAAAATTATCTCCACGCGATAGATTCTTTAATCTTCTAACTTTAATCTAGATATTTTCTAGAAATTTAATTTTGTCAAGTTACGTGTGTCGAACATATTACGGGCAAGTCAACGTGTTAAAGGCATCATTAACCACTAAGTTGATTTCGAGAAAGCACGACATATGCGATGAACGTCAAGTATCGATCCGGAATCTCTCATGGTACATTACCTGGCTATGTAATCGTTGCTGTAGGCTACGGAGAATGTAGTGAACCACGAAGAGGCGATCAAAAGGGAAACGATAGCGACCGCGGTCTTGAAATATTTCACAGAGAGCAAAAGAAGAAGTATCCCAAGGACGTAGAATTGCGTGTCGTTGGCCATATACCAGCTCCACAGCATGCACTAGAAAGTTATTAATGCAATAATCGCGTATCTCAGTTATAAAGAAGATTGCGCATCGCGATAAGTTGCGAAAGTCCCGCGTAAGAAAACTCGGCTGGAGAAAAATTCACGCACCGTGAAAGCGACGCATTAAATAGTACTTTGACATAGAAACATTCTAACAATTTTCCCGCTCATTAACTCGATGAGAGTAGATACGTTAATAATAAAAGTTTCTTTTTATCTAATTGCCTCTCGTTTGATCCCTCAATTCAACTTGCGTTTATTCATCCCTAATCAATCAATTTAAATCCGCTTTAGTTACTTCATGCGGGAATAAGCTCGTTTAAAAAAAACTTTATTTTTTAATTTATCATACTTTTCGGTAGCAATAATTTTCTCAAACTCGACGTGTTTCTTAAAGAGTTATAAAGTCTTTTGTGGTTTTTTCTTAAATTTTTCTGAACGTCTACATTTGCGCGGCAGGTGCTGTTGCACCTAAGAAGTTTCATATTACGCTGAAAGCTTTGTCCCGCAAGTGATACATTGCGGCGAGAAAAACGAAAGAGCGCATTAGGATAAAGCGGAATATAAATCATCTTACCATTTCCGTGCGCGGGTACAGAGAGTTCAAATACAGCGCGTTTCGCCACCAGAATTTCTCACAGGTCAGATGATCGATAATAACAGGTGAAAAGACTGTCTTCGCTTGAGCGTGCTTTATGGCGATCTCGTTCATTCCCAGCACAAAGAGATAAGCCGGTGTCAATCTTCGGTGAAAGGAGGATCAAGATAAAAGCATTGTACAATTTATTTGAATTGAATTGTTTTGTGTCGAAAGACTCCTTTCTCTCTCTTAGCGCGTAAATTATATAACATAATAGTAATAATTATTATTGCGAAGGATATATTTACCTAACGAATCGATAGAGAATCATGATCACGAATTTGATGGAACTTGACTTGAAGAAGTTGCCCTTCTCCGTATTCAGATTACCCAGGGATCGATAGAACAGTATAGTCACTAATAAACCGCTGCTCGCGAGACAAAGAGTTCATTTAATATCTTTGCAATCGTAATGGAAATTTATCCGCGTCGTGTCTTACCTGATAAAAAGAAAGTGTCCACGGAGAATGTCGCGTTGCTGATGGTCTGGAACATGAAATTCCTCTCTGTGACTGTTCGCAGTGTCTTGTTCTCTGCAAAGCATAATGAGGAACCGCTTAATCGCGAAATAGAGCCGGTGAAAGTATATACACATTGTAAAGCGGAGAAAGAGTCTCGATTAGCGCCTCTCAGGAAATCCGATACATTCCGTTACATCATATATCGTCGATCAATTGCATCCAAAGCTATTTATAGAAAGTGGAGCGAACCAATCAGTTTCAAGTTAATGACGATACAATTCACATCAGCGTGTTCTCGATACTCTCCCACTTTACGACTGCGTTTAGTTCGGAAAATTTCGTTTTTCGGAAATTCTTTCGTGAAATTACCCGCGATAGAAAAGACCTGGAGATACGTATGCACCATGACGACCCAGCCCAACGAGAATACCCGAAGACCGTGGAGACAAGTCAGACTATCCTTGGCCGCAGGTTCGGTGCTAATAATCTTGCTTCCGTTGGCGGTGGGGCTAAACGCGAGCAAGCACCTGAGCCAGAATCCTGAAAAAGGTGACAACAAAAGTGACGTCAGAAAAAAATTTTTTAAATATCCGGCTCGAGGTGTATCGACGAGATATATATGTTAACGACCTTCGTTGTCATTTTTTCCTTGAATAGGGTTCTCTTTTTGCGGATTCTTTGTCCCCTTTTCGATCAGCTCTTGACCGTTCTCTTGTCCCATCGAGATTCTGCGGTCTTGATTTAGATTCTTATCCACAAAATCATTGGTCTTGTCGTTGTTATTCGACACGCTCGAGGACTCAATGTCCCCGACTGGGGGAAACGATCTGTATTCATACACTGTCGCGCAGATCATCAAGATCAATATCGCGCCGCCAATGGCTCTGAAATAATAATTTAATAAATTTATTATGAAACAAGATCTAAAGGAAATTGAATAAAGTTAAAATTAAAAAATAAAATATATTAAGAGCATATAATAATGTAATAAAAAATATAGACTTTATATATTTCTTACACGGAATTTTCATATACTGCGAAATTCATTTAAAATTGCAAATTTGTATAAAAGTTTTTTTCTTTACAATCTTATGTTGGTGTTTATTTAAAATATCAAATTTCTTATTCTCTTTTTATGATAAATTATTGTTTATACGATTAATGTATGAATATTTTATAACATATGTTACAAACGTATAATGATGTGAATATAATATATTAACAAATAAATATTTGAATATTAATACATATATATATATATTTAAATATATGAATTTTTGAAGTATAAAACAGATTTATTTAAAATGCTGTAAATATGGAAAAACTTAATAATTTATCAAGAGAGAATACGGACATAATCAGAAGTTATAATTATAAGAATGAGTTAGTATATTTAAATTTTAATGCATTTTTCTAAATTTTAGAATTATTAGATAATGAATCAAGTTAAATTATAAAATTCTCGTTTAATTAAATAATAATAATCAATTTTTATATTTATGTTTATTTATATTTTATACATATATATAAATAAATATAAATATAACTGAATTTAGTGAATTGGAATAAATAAATCCTTGTGCATATATAAAGGATTGTTTAGAAACTCTCGTAATGTAATAGAGTTATCACAAAACCAAGCGAGGGCACGGAAAGTTAACGCTAATTTAGCTGAGCTACATGGCGAGTGAAAGATTAAGCGGATCATCTAATGACGATGGTAGAACTCGCACCGTCTTTAAGGACGCTTTTAGTCACGGTTTTACACTTGCCACGTAAAGTGGAAACGCAGGAAGTTCTATAGCCACACGCGCGCATCACTTTTGTTCGCCGCGAACAATAAGTACTAACTTCTGCATTCAGCGTTCATGCATTGTATCATAGAGGGATGGATGGTGTTTATACATTGTTGTGATGATACACATACGCAGCCGGAAATTTCGCAAGTCATTTCGCGTTTATACAATACAATCGCTTTATAAACGCATTCGATATGATATCGAGAGGAGAATTTAAAGAAAATCGATTATGAATCCGCGCCAATTTAATAACGAAATATTACCGAAATGTAGCGTGCTAACTTTTTCAATTTCCGGTTGAACAATGTATCGGCTATACGGTCATCGGATTCGCGAAAGAGCTTTATGTTCCGGGAGATAAAACTCGGGGAAACTATCTGTGCGATTTTCCGGGGTCGTATTCTCCAATTTAATCTCTCGCAGAAATTAATGTTTTAACTACATGTATTCATTTCGATAACAAATACGCACATGTTCTTCCTGCATTCATTATTAAATGTGTCCAATGTGTGTTCCATTTTTTTATACCGAATGCTATAAAAAGATTCTTTAGCAAATGTATCTCTCCGATCTTGATTTTTTCTTTGAACTTTTTTGTAATAATATTAAACATATACGCATACACACATTTCATATATCGTCGAATTTTATATAACGCGGAAGATATACTTTGTATTATACGATTTCACGTTATATCATATTTATGAGTTGTATAATAAATTTGAGGGAAAATAACATTGCCATTATAAAAAGAATATAAAATATTTCACAATTCGAAATTTATTTACTATGTTATATGATTTGGCGCAAGTATATATAAGGCTGCTATTGCAATTTTTTCCTACATAAAATATCGCGTTACACGAGACTTTACTGTAGGCATTTCTGTTAGCACGTATGTATTGTGGAATTTAATAGACGAACGATTTTAGACGGGATGCATAATTATCTGCTTTAAATTGGGGATTTTAATCGGTGTAAGGATTTTATCGGTATTAAAATACCGCTCGCGAATTGTGATTCGCAATTCAATTCCAAATTGTGATGCGATTAATCATGATGGACGTGGAATCTACTGACAGGTTTGCGATGAAAAATTGACATCTCCGTGCTTCATTTACGAAACTATCGATCGTGATATCAAAATTAAAGATTAACGCATGATTGGGATTTGTAATTAATCGACGTGTTGCAAAATAATTTGACGAGAATTTAATAACATCTCCGTATTTTGTATTTATAAATTAATTTTCACTCGAATTGATCGACGTTCATTATCATGAAAATGCTATTGTTTTTTGAAGAATTTCAATATATTATTTGCAAATACAGCTGTTACGAATGTTCTTTGAAAATGTTGAAATATGAAATGTGAAAACTGGGATTCTCATATGCCCATTATATATACATTACTTTCAAAATTTCACGTTAAATTTCTACGATCTATTATATCTGTTTTTTTATTATATTCGATTGAAATATCGAGAGTTACTTTATAGAGCGTGTCTTATTAGCGTATTTCCGCATCACCGGCTACCACAAAAACCGGACGAAAATAGATGATGGGAATTCGGACAGTGAATTTTCTCAGGCCGCACATTATTTTCATCGTACAGACTTCCGCCTTATATCTCCTTGTCAGCTTTAAATTATTATTTTCGTTGGAATCAGACAGGGGGAAAAGACTTTTGTGGATTTCTTTATCTCCCCACGGCACATTCTGTTGTGGCTTAAACACCGCTCTCTCTCTCTCTGCGCAAAATAGTGTGGCAACACGAACTTTTTTCTTTTTCTTCACATTTGACCCATTTTAACGCGCTACTACCTGCAAATCTCGATGAAGAGAGGGAGAAAGAAAAGCAAAAGCAATCTGAAGCGGTCCGAAACAAAAGTTTCACAAAGAAAGTTTTCGTCGCGACTTTTTTTTCTTCGTCTTTCTTACCACCCTGTATTGTCGCTGTCCTGATTTAATCCTTTGACTATCCTTGCAGCACACAAACTTTCATCGGCTAAGAAAGCTTTTTTCCTCACTTTTTCGAGCTCATTTCTCACTTTGCTGCAGGAATAAATCGCAAACACGAAATCGTTGGAAACTGGTCTAAATCTGAATAAGAGCAACTTTCTTTTTTAAATTACATTAATTTATAAGTTTAATTAGTTTGCAATTACTTTTTTTTTTAGGTTTTTTTTCTTGATTAATGAGCGCTGTCGATTGATTAGATAAGTCAGTTCAGTGCATTTGACTTCTTACAAGGTGCCTATTTCTCAGCAGTCTTAACGTTTAAAGTCTTAATGTTTATTCGATTTAATCTCGTTTCTACATTTCTGATATCCTCATTTATCACCTCTGGCGATGGGAAAACATTTATCAGCGTCGCGCTTAATGTAACATCTTGACAACGTGTTAAAAGGTTTTTCACATTGTAATCTTATGACATATCTATTGCAAAGCTATACTACTTATTGTTAGATATATCCAAATGTTTGCATATACATATATTAAGACTTTTAGGATTAAAATATAATTTATAATTTTTTCCCACATTAAATATGTACTATGTAGAGAAAAAATACTGGAACTAAATAGGTTTCTTAAATTCATATATAGTCTTAATTCTGAGCTGTATTTTATTAAAATATGATATGCTCTATGTGAACTTAATTCGATTCTGGTCTATATTTCGGTATAAATTTTTATTTTAAATTTGATTTTTATTCGGAACTAAATGCTAGAGCGCGAAAATAAAGTGGCATGTCTGTTAGTGTTTTTGGTTTTTGTATAAAAATATTTATATATGCAATATATATATATATATATATATATCGCATATATAAATATTTTTATACAGAAACCAAATACACATACAATATGTGTGTGTGAATGCTTGTGTTGATTTGTGTATGTGTATTGTGTATGCAATTGAGATTGCTTTATTGAAATCGTACGCGAGGGATAAGCGAGACACCACGTATGGTAATATAGCTGCACATCTGACGGTTTCCATTTCCGTAAACAATTTAATGGATTGGACCCGAACGTACTCGAAACACGATTTGCATCCGTGGCGAGGCCCACATTCCCTCGGAATGCAGACGACAGTGCGAACACTTTCACGCTGCACCGGTGGCTTTCTATAATCTTACGTAATAGGCCTGCAACATACATATGCACATGCGTGCAAGTGCATGCGCGCGATGCACGGTCGGCCGGTGCATAATTGCACTCCGAACATCTCAGCATTGCTCTCTTGAGGGTCAATCTTTTAACTGAGTATACGATTAGCACAACTTCCTTCCGTAAGAAAACTTGCGCATTTTATTTTTGTTTGTAATAACGTATAATGTGTTTAATATTAATCCACACCGGAGCAGAGTAATAATAAATTTGAAAGTCAATAAATCTCTTTTCTTCATGATTTTACGCGAATATTTAAAATTTTTGTTAAACCGTTGATCGGTGCTAAAACTTCTGACAGCGTTGAAAAATAAACTAATGCGACGTCTTGTTTGCCAAGCGCGAACTTTGCCTCGCACAAATATTATCTTGGATCTGTATACAACGGGAGGAATATCGTTTTCCGCGTTTAAGGGAGATACTCGGAAAAACGCCTGTGTCAAAATTTAAAGCACGTGCAACCATCTGTCACGTGATTTCGTAGTGGACGTAGCCGCGATGTATGGTTATCCATAACGATTTTTGAAGGATAACGTGTCGTGTGACATATTTTGCACGCGCAAGGATTATTTACGACTAAAACCATTTTGCTCTCATTCCAAGTAACTTGGTGAACTGAGTTGTACACACGTATATCTCGAGATTTAGGTCGCAATTGATTATTCTTCGCCGTTGTATTTATCGGAAACTTGATTCACTGTTTAATCCAATGTATTATTTGTATTCCGTTTCGAATATAGTAATACCGCGACAATGCAAAATATCCATAAAGCTTTGTTAAATATTTTAATATTATATTTAATTTATTTTTCGAATTTTTACATTAAACTCTCATCATATTTCTCGATTGGAAAATTGCCATCATTTATTTAGCACGACTCGCGTAATATAAATAAATAATTCACAGCTC